CCTCGACGCGGAAGAGCGCTACCTCCACGACTGGTCTCTCACCAACACGAACCTGCGCTGGCGCGTCCCCCGCTGGCTCGCCGCGGACTTGTTCCAGAAAGCGAAGGGCGAAGATCTGCCCTTCGTCGACTGCTGGCCGTCGCTCTTCGTGGGACCGGCCGGCACGACGTCCGAGCTGCACGTCGACGCCGTGGCCTCCCACTTCTGCATGGGCCTGCTGCACGGCGAAAAGAAATGGACGATCTGGCGGCCGGCGGACGCGGCCTGGCTGCGGCCGCGCTTCGCCGACGGCGGCGACGACCCGCTCTTCGACGGGCCCGGCGACGGCGGCGCGCCGGCGCCCTACGAGGCGACGCAGGAGCCCGGCGACCTGCTCTTCGTGCCCGGCGGCGCGCCGCACCGCGTCGCCAACGTCGCCGCGACGGTCGGCGTCGCCGCGAACTTCGTCGACGCGTCGAACCGCGACCGCCAGGGCAGGAAAAGAGTGATTCAAGTTCGCTTCAACATGAGTATTCCGCGCGCGCGCGTTCTGGAAAAAGCATCCGCGCTTCGAGGCCGCTCCGAGAGATGATCGCTCGTCCAGAAATTAGCCGAAACGAGTGGAATAGGCCGAGATCGGAGCCTTTGAAGTTGGGAATTTCGCACTCTTTTCCTGCCCAGGCGACCGCGCGGCGGCGGCGATCGCGGCGCTCCCGGACCCGGGCGCCGCGGAGCTCGCGCGCCAGCTCCTCGAGCTCGACGTCGACGACGCGCCGCCGGACCGCCACGCGTCCTGGGCCGAGTTCAAGGGCGCGCGCGCGCGGAAGCGCGGCCGGGCGGAGGGCTAAATTTTACTTCGGCGGCAGCGGCCGGGGCATCTCGCCGCCCGCCTCCTCCCTCCGGGACGCGTAGGAGGCGAGCTGGTCGTTGATCTCGCTGGCGATCCACTCGAGCTCCTCCCGCGGGAGGCCGTCGCCGACGCCCCAGACGCCGTTCGCGGAGACCAAGCGGCACGCGTAGGAGGGCACGCCGTTCTGGACGATGGTCACGGCCACGTCCGCCCCGGCCAGGTCCTCCGTGGGCCCGGTCTCCTCGGAGACGTCGACGACGCCCGCCACGCTCTGCGTGAGCTCCCAGGCGTACTCGCCGACGCTCAACGTCGTCGTCTTCGCGGGGTCGAGGAGCGTCGACTTGACGACGGTGCCCCCGGCGAGCCAGAAGGGCGCCATGAACGCCGCGCTCGCGACGGCGCGCGCCGCGACGAAGGCCGCCGTCGCCGGCACGATGGCGCTGAACCAGGCCGCGGAGAACGCGAGGCCGAAGAGCGTCGAGGTCGTGAGGCCCGACGCGGGCACCGTGAGGAGGAGCGTGCCCGCGTCGGACCGGTCGACGAGCGACTTGGCGCCGATGGGCCGCGGCTTCGGCGCCGAGTCCGCCGCGGCCGCCAGCCGCCGCTCCGCGGCGCGGAGGCGCGCGGCGGCGGTCTCATACTCCTCCTGGGCATCGTAGAACTCGTCCTCGGGGCTCGCCGGCAGCGTCGTCCGCGGGCGCAGCGCCTGCGGCCGTCGCAGCGCGTGCGGCCGTCGCAGCGGCGCCTGCCAGGCGTCGATGGGAAGCGCGAGGAACGCAAGTAGCACTTTTGAGATCCGCATCGGCATCCGACGGCTCCTGCTCTCCGCGGCGATCGCCGTCTTCGCGCGCGGCGACTCCATAGCTCGCTTTGATAGAATGCAATCTGACTGCAAGGTGGGTGCTCCTTCACTGGCTTGCAGCTCACGATGGGTTATGACAGCCGGCGAGCCACTTGCAGCTCACGATGGGTCGGAGATGACAGCCCTCCGACGAGCCCTGCTGCTATTGCTGGCGGCGGCCGCGGATGAACAAGACGAAAGGCCGCGCCTGTTTTGGATGCACGTGCAAAAGACGGGCTCCGCCTTCGGCGCGACGATCGTGCGAGTGGGCTGCCCCGAGTTCTACATGGACACTAAAAAATCACTCGCGCCGCCGACGCTCAGGAGCTGGCCAACGTACTGTAGGAGGAAGCTCGTCGACGGCTCGCACCAGCACACGCCCTACGACCCGTCCTTCAAAGGCATCGCGGTGACGTTGCTGCGCGATCCCGCGGATCGCCTCGTGTCGGCGTATTTCTTCGGGCGTACGCACCCCATGTTCCCCGCGGGCCACGACTTCAAGGACCTCAACGACGTCGACGCCGCGGCGGCGTTCGCGAGGATCGCGAAGAAAAACGGGAACCGCTCCTACATCGATACCTATGCGCGCACCCCCGGCGTCGCGCACTGCCAGACCAAGGCGGTGCTCGGGCGGCTCTGCGGCGACGCGGCGCCGCTCGAGCCCTCGGATCTCGACGAGGCGCTCCGGCGGCTCGACGAGGATTTCCTCTTCGTCGGCGCGCAGGCCTTCTTTCCCGAATCCGTGCGGACGCTGCACGCGATGCTCGCGCCGGAGCTCGAAGTCGACCTCCACCGCCTCGCGGAGTCGACGTCGCGCATCCACCGCTACACGGCCCAGCAGCGCGACGGCGCGCGGGCGGCCCTGGAGCGGGCGGGCTTCCACGACGCGTTCGACGGGCCGCTCTACGCGCGGGGCTTGGCGCGCTTCCGGCGCGCCGCGGCGCGCTACGGCGTCGCGCTCCCGGAGCGCCGCGAGGAACTCTTCGAGAAGCGTCGCGCGCCCGAGTTCCGCCCGCCCCCGGACTAATCAGAGTGCGATGACGCCGCGCTTACACAGGAGGTCTAGCTGATGTTCGGGTTTCGGAGGACGAGGATGACGGAGTCGCCGCGGAGGAACATCTTGGAGATGTAGCGCTCCTTGTTGACGGGCTTGGACTTTTTCTTGCCCTTGCCCGTCTTGGGGATCTCGGTCCAGACCTCCTTGACGTTCTCGAGGACCATGTTGCAATGGCGGTCGAAGGCCTTGACGCGCGCGAGCAGCTTGTGGTTGTTGCGCACGTTGATGAGCACCTGGCTGTTGCTCTTCATGGAGTGGAGCAGCAGCGACAGCGGGCCCGTCGCGAACTCGTTCTCGACGCTCGGCTCGCCGCTCTCCATCTTGTCGGTGATGGACGCCATGGGCGCGGACCGGCGGCGGCGGCGCGGCGCGGACCGGCGGCGCGGCGGACGAACTGTGTCGCGGCGGCGCGGGCACCGGCAGACGAAGGCGGCGCGGGCGGTCGGACGGTCGGCGCGGCGCGGCGCGGCGGACGACTCTCGCGGCGAGCAGCTCGGCCCGATGTCCTCGCCTCAGCCGCGGCCGCCGCCGCCGGGGGTCACTGAGACCGCCTTACGCCGCGCCGTCGTGGCTACCAGTAGCAGAGCGGCTCGCCGTCGGCGTAGGGCCCGCAGGCGAAGGCCGAGGCGCAGGAGACGGCGCCGCCGGCGGGCGGGAGGTAGTCGATCTTGGGCTGGACCCAGGTGCCCGCGAGGAGCGCCTTCATGGCGGCGCCCATGGCGGTGCCCACGTAGACGTAGGTCTCGCCGTTGCCGAACCAGTGGTAGCCCTGGTTGATGCAGCCGCCCGTCTCCGTGAAGTCGCGGAAGAAGCCGCGCGTCTCGACGGTCGCGACGTTGGCGACGTAGGTCGAGACGTTGTACTGCGCGCGCATGATCTCGAGGCGGCGGTCGACGCCCTGGCCCCAGCCGCCGAAGCCGCTCAGGCCGATGGACACGGGCAGGTTTTCGACGCCGAACTCGGCGCGCACGTCGTGGATCAGGTTAACGAGGTTGACCTCGTACTCCTTCGTGCCCTCGTCGCCGCAGCCGTCGTTCCACCCCTGGTGCCACGCGAACCCGGCGATGTCGTAGGAGTCGGCGCCGTAGTCGTAGCCCGGCACGACCGATGACAGGCCGGTGTCGAGGACGCGGTGGACGACCTCGGTCATGTTGCCGTAGCACCAGCCGAGGACGCCGCCGGACGACGGCGGCCGCCAGTCGGTCTGGAGCGCCGTGCCGCCCCAGGCCCACTTGAGGAGCAGGACCTTCGTCTGGTCGTCGAAGGCGCCCTGCAGGGACACCCCAAAGCCGTACTCGGGCCCGACGAAGTCGTCGCTGATGCCGAAGCCCACGGACAGCGGGCCGGTCTTGTTCCGCGAACCCTCGAAATGGACGAAGGCGTCGTCGAAGACCGTCCAGTTGCCGTCCGTCATGAGGCCGTCGAAGTCGGCGTGCTCCGCGCGGCAGCCCACCTCGTCGGTCTGCTCGGCCATCGTCGGGCACACGGGCAGCTTCTTCCAGTCGCCGTGCTCCACCTCCCATTGGACCGTGCCGTTGCCGTCGTTGGCGCCCCGGGACTTCGTCGCGACGCCGTGGCCCTCCATGTTCGACTGGCCCGCGAGGATGAAGACCTTGACCTTCATCGCCGCCCCGAGGGGCGCGAGGAGGAGCAGCGCTGTGGTCTTCATCGTTCTTCCAAAAGCGCGCTTTTGAAGACCGTGTATCTTGCACTCGTTCTTGAAGTCGTCGGCGCTCGAAAACCTTACGCCCCCCCGTCCTTCTTCTTCCGCAGGTCGACGATGTTCCGCGTCCCGTCGGCGGCCGTGAACCAGCCGATGCCGACCATCTTGCCCATGTCCCACTTGCCCTCGAACTTGGCGCCCGACGCGAACGCGTAGACGCCCGAGCCGTGCTTCCGCCCGAAGAGCCACTTGCCGTCGTGGACGTCGCCGTTCAGCAGCGTGACCTTCTCGTGGACGGGCTTGAGCTCCTTCGTCTCCGCGGCCTGGACCGTGTCGCCCGTCGCGGCCGCGAGGAGCTCCGCGGCGTCCAAGCGACACAGCTGCGCGCGCGCGATCTCGACGCGGCCCCTGCCCACGCGGCGGCAGTAGCCCAGGGGCAGCAGCTCCGCGAGGTGGGCGGCGAGGACGCCGGCGTCGAGGGGCGGCGGCGGCCCGCCCCGGGGCCGCGGGAGGTGGGCCGAAGGGTGCGCGGTCGCGTAGTTGTCCCGGAGCCCGAGCGCGGACACCTCGTAGAGGAAGCAGGCCTCCGGCGCCGCGCAGGAGTCGCGCACGGCGAGCAGCGCGTCGAGGACGGTCAGCGCGTTTTCTTCGACGAGCTCGTCGAGCTTGAGCACGTAGGTCCTCGCGAGCGCGTCGTCCGCCGCCGGCTTCCGCGGCGCCCACGACACCGCGCCGGGCTTGACGACGCCCACGGACACGCCGCCCCCCAGGAACGGCGCGCCGGACTCGTTGTCCAGCGCCGGCTCGAAGGGCAGCCAGCGCGGCGTGGCCGCGTCGGGCCAGGGCCGCCGCAGCGCGAGGCGGATCGCGTCGAGCGGTAAAACGTCCGGCGCGTCGTGCTTCGCGGCCAGGAGCGCGCTGCTCAGCACGGCGGCGCACCGGAGGAGCGCCACGAGGTAGGCGAGGTAGTCGGCGCCGAAGCCCGGCGGCGCCCACTCGCCCGGCGGCGCCTTGGGGCAGGGCACGCGCGGGAGGAGCCGCGCGCACATGTCCTCGCCCCGCCGCGCGACGTCCTGGGCCCGCGCGCTCCCCGCGGACGCGTGGATGTCGACGCCCCAGGACGTGTGCGCGTCGGCGAAGAGGAGCCGCCGCCCCGTCTCGTCGTAGGCCTCGTGGACGTCCAGCGTCTCGAGGGACGCCTTGATGTCCGCGCCGGTAGCGTCCCCATCCCACGCGGCCTCCCACTCGCGCTTCCAGTCGCGCACCTCGTGGCCCCCGAAGATCTTTTCCGACGTCGTGAAAGACGGGTACGCGGCCTCGACGCCGGCGAGGCGGTTCGCGTCCGTGCCGCGGAGCGCCTCCGGCAGTTCGCGCTGCCCGTTCGGCCCCCAGTCGCGGCCGCGGCACTCCTTCTCTAGGAACGCGTCGCGCTCCGCCGTGTCCAGGAACAGCCCGCCGTGGGCCGTGCCGCCGACGGCTTTTAAAGCGACATCGAGTTCCAGGCACGCGCGGCCGACGAGCGTGCCCCGGTAGCACGGGTGGAGCGTCGACAGGCGCGACGCGTGCCGGTCGCAGACGCTCTCCAGCGACAGCCAGGGCACGGCGCCATACGCATAAATCCCCAGGGCGAGCTCCGCGCCGAGGCGCTGCAAATCGTCGTCCCGCAGCTTCCCGCAGCCCAGAAAGCGCACGGCGAAGTCCGTCGGGCCCGCGCCCGCGGCGAAGACGCCCGGAAGCGCGACGGGCGACGCGGACACGCCCTTGACCTCGCGGTCCTGGCGTTCGGCCTCGTCGAGGAACGGCGTCTCGCCCCGCGTGCCCAGGCGGCCCCAGGGCATCTGCGGCGACGCCTGGCGCGCGTGCCAGTCGTCGTTCTCGGCGTCGAAGCCGCTTCCCCCGAAGGGCCGCCGGCCCCGCGTCTCGTCGCTGATGCGCACGCGCCGCGTAAAACCGCTCGCGTCGCCGACCTCCGGCAGCGCGTCGGGCCCGCGCGGCGGCGGGCCCCGCGGGTCCCCCGCGCCCGGCGCGGGGTCCTCCGCGCGCAGCGCGGCCGCGGCCTCGCCGCGCGCGTCGCGCAGCGCCGCGAGCGACGGCAGCGCGGACGGCCGCGGCGGCGTCGCCGCGCGCAGCTGGCTCGTGCGGCTCGCGCGCACGAGCTCGGCGACGCCCCGCTGGCGGTCGAGCTCGCGCTCGCGCGCGGCCGCCGCCGCGCCGACGGACGCGGCCTCGAGCATCGACGCGCCGCGCGCGCGCGACCCGGCGACGCGGTGCGCGGGGATCTCGGGCACGGACGCGATGACCGGCGACACGAACTGGCGCCGGTCGTCCCGCGCGAGGCCCGACGCCGGCGGCAGGTCCCGCTGGACGCCGAGGCCCTGCTCGAGCATGCGCTGCTGGAAGGCGTACTCCGACGCCTGGCGCCGCGCGAGCTGCTGCGCCGCGAGCGCCTCCTCGGAGCCCCGGGGCCGCGCGTTGCTCTGGCGCAGGGACGCCTGGCGCCGCCGCAGCTTCTCGGCGAACGAGGCCTCGACCATGTCACCGTCCTACAACGACGACACGGTCGCGTGGCACGAGAACGACGGGTCTGAGTCCTTCACCGAGCACCGCCGGACCATCGTTGTGCGGGCTCCTCCTAAAGCGTTGGACGGCAACATTAACTTCAACATGGCGCGTCTTCGATGATTCTATCGCTTACGCGGCGTCGTGCGCGCGACTTCTTCGCGCGGACGCACGGGTGATCGAGGGGGGAGTCGTCGAGGGTCGTCGAGGCCGCGCGCGGTTCGAACGCGCGGCCGGGCGGAATCGCGGGATCGCGTCGCGTCCGACGCTCAGGCGAGGCCCTTGATGGTCGTCACGGGCGCGTTGTTCCAGAAGGCGCCGTCGTCGAACTTGAGGTTGACGTGCGTGAGGAGGTTGAGCGAGTCGCTCCACGTGACGCCGACGACGCGCGCCGGGTACGCGATGTCGCTGTCCCACGTCGCCATGACCTTCTTGTTGAGCATGCCGCCCGTGGGCTTGGACTTGGGGGGCGAATTCTCGGAGCCCGCCGTCGACGGTTTCGTCGCCTGGCCCTTCGGCGTCTTGTACTTGGGGTCCACCGACTTCTTCGCGGGCTTGGGCTTCTCGGACTCCTTCTTGGGGACCTTCGGCGGCCGGCCCCGCGGCTTCTTCGGCGCGCCCTCCTCCTTGGGCTCCGCCTTGGGCTCGACCTTGGCCTTGGGCGGCCGGCCGCGCGGCTTCGCCGCGGGCGCGGGCGCCGGCTCGGCCTTGGCCTTCGGCGGCCGGCCGCGCGGCTTCTTCGGCTTCACCTCCTCCGACGCGTTCGGTTTCGTGTCCGCGGCGATGGTCACGGACTTGCGCTTCGCGCCGGCGACGGTCTTCCGCGGCTTGATGACCTTCGTCGGCGCGTTCTCCCAGAAGCCGCCGTCGTCATAAAGTAAGCTCAGCGAACCCGAGGGATTCACGGACTTGACCGTCGCCGGGAAGTACTCGTCACTATCCCATTTGGCCTCTAGGCGCTGGCCCGCGTAGAACGTCATCGCGGCGGTCTCGGCGAGGGCGGAACTGTTTGCCGCGCGATTTTTGCCTCAAACGGCGGCGATCGAGATCAGCCCGGCCCCTGGGCCTGGAGGGGCCGGCGACGGATCGCCCCGAGTA